CTACTCTCCCAGGCCTGCTAGCTGCTGTGCCACATATCCCCATATGCCCATATCCCCCGTTGGGGCGCACCCTTTTCCCACTCCAAACCACTTCAACGCATGGCACATATTTTTCTTCAATCCAGAGAGAAGCGGGCGGTGGGCGGCAAGACCAAGTCAAATCGAGGGAGGGAAGCATCGGCGGTTTGGTTTGGAACGGAAAACTCGATTAGAATTTCCCATACGACGAGTTAACCCAAATAAGTAATAAGTTTGGGCAAGGTCTCCAGCTGGTCGGTGACTCAGGAACTTTTTCTCGCACCCCCAAACGGTCACCAGCTGTCCGTAACAAGATTCCATTTTTAATCCAAACCCCACCAATCAGACCAAATGCAAATAAAATACCCTCCACCTTCCTCTAGCCACTAATTTTGTTTTCATGCCACTCCTCGTCCTTCCCCTTCGTCCCAACTTTCATGCAAACACGTAATTATGGAGCTTTGCACTGCTTGGGAGGCGAGGCAAGGGCTGTTAACAGTTGTCAGCGCGCCAGGAGCCATGTCAGCGCATCGGCACGGCGGGGACGCGTCGCCGACACCCGACCCTCCAGGATGCCAGGCCGCAGCGGTGGAGGGAGAGGCACGGCAAGAACGAGGGCGCCCGAGGTAAGGGTCCCCGCGCCCCGGCGGCGCCACCCTCCTCCTGCCCGCACAACTCCGCATTTTCGGCGACGCCAGCTGAGAGAAAATCCTCTACCGCCACTGAATTGTTTTCAGCACGGCACAAAATCTTATTTGAATCCTATCACATGAAAAGTGTGTGTGTGTGTGTGTGTGTGTGTGTGTGGAACTTCTAGACGCCACATCTGACACAGCTTTCAATCATTTCCGACTACACTTTAACCGGGGCCTTGCGTTCGCCTGGCTCTGACAATTTCATTCAGCCTTTTTTTGGGACAACGACTGATAATGAGATGAGGGCCCAAACGAAAAATTTACAGACGAAAACTGTAAAATAACTAACAATATGCTAAAGGTCCGAGAGTGCCCACTCTCGGGTCCCCTGCCAGCAGGTGGATAGGCAAACCCGCCAGACATGTCCGTTGGGCGAGTGGCCTACCTCACTCTTCGCAGGCGCTTCTGCGGATGACCGTTTCGTGAAGCTAAAGACTGGAAGAAACAGAGAAGAGCTCGTAGTTTTCTAGAGGTGTTGCGGAAGTTCTACCTGCAACATGGCTGAGGTAGGATAACATAAAAGCGGCGACATAACGACAGCAGTGTTTGCCCAGCGCCCCTGCCTTTCGATGGGTAGGCAAACCCGCCGCGCACACAGGTGGAGCGGGTGGCCTACGCTCGGCTTCGCAGGCGCTCCCCGGACTCCCGATCACACTGCCACTGCGAGCGATGTCTTTAGACTGTTCTCATATATTTTCAACATCCTTTGTTGTTGATTGAAAAGTAAACAAAAGAAGAAGGAAAAGAAACAAAATCCTATTTGTACATTTTATTTCTCATGCTGTATGCCCCCTCCGACTTGCCCGCATTAACGACGACGTGAACGGATTAAAAACGGCGTGGCCGAGTGTGAGGTGGGCACAAAGTATTGAGCTGCCGCCCTGCCGGGCGACGCCGCGGTGCCAGTACAGCGGGACAGGCAGTCTGGGCCGGGGGCCGCCGGGCCGGCCGGAGCCACGGGGACACGGCCCCCTCATTTCCTATGCATTGGGAGTGTTGTTGTGACGGTGACGCGGAACAGGCTTAACAGCGCGCTGTGCGCCGCGGCGCGGGGCGCACTGCCACGGTGGCGTGGCAGGGGTGGTGGTAGATGTGCATGATGTACAGCGACCAGGGCCGGGCGCCGGGGGAGGAGGGGGGCAAGGGCGATATGGGAAAAGGTGTATATCGAGGGATAAGAGAGGGGGAGGGGGTAGCATGAGTGGTGCTGGCGTGGCGTGTGTGGGGTCCAACTCCGTGGCTCTACCCGGCTCTACCGGTTCGCTAACGATGGTCGGGAGGGACCCTGCTCGCCCTGCTCCCGCTCGAGTTTAGTCACCATATGGGGTGCGGCACAAAGAAGTGGGGGCGGCGCTGGCTTTGACCTGCACACGGCGCGCCCACGTCGCGCCGGCACGGCAGCGCAGCAGTGCGGCCAGCAGGGCCGGCACGGCCCCGCCGCGGTGCGGCCACCGAGAAGCGCGCCCGCACCCCGCAACGACAGGGAGGTATGTGGGGCGCCGTGCCGTGCACGTCAGCATACACCAATAAAAGTCGTCGCTGGCACCCGTTTCCTCGGCACCGTCACGTCGGCCGGGGGGGGCCGCCCCGCCCCGCCCCGCCCCGCCCCACGCGCGTGTGACCCGCACCACGAGCGAACCACGAGGCCCGAGACACTCGAAAATGCGACGGACTGGGGGCCCGTCCCTGCTCCCTGCGGGGCGGGTGTGGGCGGGGGCGGGGCGGCGCTACAGTGCTTGGCCCGTTCGGCCTGTTCGGCCTGCTGCTCGGCTTGCTCAGCCTGCTGGGCCTGCTCCTGCTGCGCCCCCACAACTCTCCTCGAGCAGCAGCCCGTGGCGTGGCGTGGTCTGAGTAGAGGCAGGCCTGCGGGCACGCACAGGAGCCCAACCATGAAATATCCAGTTTTCTTTGCGAAAGCAAACGCACGTAGCACGGGCAGTGCGCGCCTTCGCTTGAGTGTGAGTGTGGGTGTGTGTGTGTGTGTTGGCACACACGCCCGTTTGTGTCTGGCCTGCGGTGCGCGCGTGTATAGCTGTTGCAGATTTGCTGTATTACTTTAGCCAGCCGAAATGCAGCCTCGCGCTCTGAGGACCACAGGGCTCCTTTGACTGAGAACGTTTAGCATCCCGTTCCGAAAGCAGAGGCTGGTTGCGTCGCATAGGTGGTTGAACAAAAATAGGCTGGCTTCAATTACGGTGTGTACAGCATCTTTACAGATTTGCAAATATTGTGTTTACACATTCAACGGGTCTGAATCTCATTATTTTTAAAATGGTATTGCAAAAAGAGCAGAAAACTCGTGGTCAGCTCCAGCTCTTCATAACATGTAAGAGTAAGTTGTTATTTCGCGCTCCAAGCGGAAAAGTAATGGCAATTTTTCAAAGTGGATGACGTCTTCGTTACTGTTCTACAAACTCAACAATATACTTAGGGCACACGTAGAGGTAGAGGTGCGTCTCGTTGTCACGTCAAGTGTGTGCTTAACAATAAGATAGAAAAAAGTCAATCACATCTGTTTGAAATCACTGAAGTTTTCGCCGAAGAGTTTGCCTAAATATTTTCTACCCAACAAGTGATCGTTAATAAGCTTTGTCATGACCACTTTCTCCATCACAGTGCTATCTGATGCATTAGTAGCTCTTCCCCCACCGTCAGATCGTCTTTGTCTAAAGTGACTTGGTTACAATAGTTGGCGGATAACAAGGGCTTAAGAACTTTCAATGAGTATAACAACTGAAAATCTTTATTACATATTACTTGTGTACAAATTTACAGTTTGCAGGCTTTTTTTGGACTTGGACAAAGCTTCTGCGTTCCTTTATAAATTACTATTTACAGAGATAATACACATTAAAATTGATTGAGCCAAGTATATGTAACATATAAAGTTTTCTTTAGCTCATAATGGAATTCAGTGAACTCAGGTGCTCACGCATTCCTGAAGACAGTCAGGTTCTGTAAACTGCCCAGTTTACATTTTTTAAATAAATTACATGTTGTGGACATTTCAAGAAGTTTTCAGAATTAAAAAAATATGGTCCCAAATCACACTTATTTTGTCCCCTAGAAGGGCTTATTAAGCATTGATTTCTCTTCATGCAATTCAATTATTTACTTAAGATGCACTGATTTTTACTTAGGCCCCTGAGAAACTTATGAGTACCAGTTTTATTCACTAACTTCATGCTACTGCATTTCATCTGAAGCTCTCCACGTCTGAAATTTTAAAACTATTAGTTTCAGAAGGTGCTTGATGAATTTCAAAAGTTTTCTTTGTAGGTTCTAAAATGAGAACCATGGGATATGTCAAGCTTATGGGCCAACATTCAACAGTTACAGATTATTGATTGTTCTACCATTATACACCCATCCAGGTAATAGCAAACAAAGTCAACCACTAGCCTTTTCCTTTACGCTACCAAAATTAACAAAACTCATTTTTACAGGGTCACTTACGCAAAATTAAAAACAGACGACACAAAAATAAAGAACATTAGCCGATAATTTATTTGAAAAGTAAAGGAGGGTAAAATAAACAAAGTAAGAGCTAATAATTATCACCCATTGCTTTTATGGTCAGGAAGACCAACAGAAGATGCTCTGGACTGCTTTCATGCCCAAAGCAGCGGCGACGGCTCCCAGCCACAATTGACGCAGTTTTGGAAGAGTCTGAAGGACAAGGTCCCTCTCCATTATGGGGCGTCAGCGCGAGGCGAGGGGCGAGGCGTGCCAGGCGGGAACGGCCACTTGCTACCGCTTGCACGCACTTTTGGTCGGAAAGTTTTCAACAAGAAATAGGCAGCAGGCGAGCGGGTTCGCGCGGGTCGGGTTGGGTCGGGCGCGGCGGCCGTGGGGCCAAAGCACCTGGACGGGCGCCAGCGAGTAATCGCCGCGGGCCACGCACGGCCCCCCGGGCCCGCCGGCCCACCAGGGCCCCGCGGCGGCGCCCCGCCACGCCCGCTAGCAGGCCGACGACGACCTGAACGTCCTCAGCGCGATGCCGAACTCGTCGTGCTCGCCTCCCTTGGCGTCCGGAGCGAAGCGGACGCTGTTCCGGGTGCCGGCCGCCGCGGCCTGCTGTCAGACCCGCAGCTCCTCCATCTGGCTGGCGCAGTACTGGCCGGGCGGCCCGGGGCCCCGCTGTCCGTGGCCTTTCCTCCGGATCGTGCCCAGCGCGCCGGGGCCGACGCCGACCACGGAGCCGCCGGAGCAGCCGCCGCGCGCACCCGTACCGCACGCCACGTCCGGCGTCGTGGACTTCTTGCCGACGAGCGTGTGCAGGTTGTGCGCCGAGGCCGACAGGAGCGGCTGGTCCTCGCCGCCGCCGCCGCCGGCCTCGCACTGCAGCGGAGGCAGCTTGGCCATCTTGGGCGGCGGCGGCGGCCGGGGCAGCGTCGCCGAGCCGCCGAAAGCCGACAGCATGAAGCTCTGCTGGGCCGGCAGGTCGTCGAAGTCGGGCGGCGGCAGCTGGTGCATGGAGTGCGAGTGAGCCAGCTGGTGGGTCAACGGCACGCCGCCCGGGCAGCCCGGGGGCCCCACCGGCCCGCAGCCAGGCCCGCAGTGCAGGTGGAAGTGGTGCTGCCGATGGAGCGGGTGGCCGCTGGCGTCGCCCAGGAACGTCTTGAGCGACGGCGGCCCGCCCGTCATAACCTGCGCACAGAGAACGGGGGTAAAGGACATGCGCAGTGTTGCGCTGCGCGACCTGACGCGAGGCGCTACTCACGCAGGACTGGAGGTGCTCGGCCTTGCACATGCCCCGCGGCGTGCCGTTCTCCACGGGCCTCTTCTTGTGCTTGAGGGCCGACTGCAGCGTCCCCGAGCCCTGCGAGCGGAACGAGTTGTTGGAGCTCTCCGCGGCACGGCAGTTCTCGTGCGGCTGCAACAGACCAAGAGCAGGAGGACTTAGTCACACACATCTGTTGTCGTTCATGTCAGATTTATCTTTCTACGTTGGCAATACTTCTTCAAGTCCGCGCTAAATTGTTAGTCTTGGTGTTCATCTTATTGTTTACCTGTCAAGTGAAGTTGAGTCGAAAAGTCGTCAGTCTTCGTGGGCACCTTGTACTCAGTCGTTGTCATTGTCAGTTGAAGTTGAATAGAATAAAAGTCGTTCTAGTCGAATCTCAAGCGTTATCCTCGGACACGCTTCCCTTCCTAAACTGCACAACTTCTCGTGAACTTTCAAAGCTACCACCACAAAGCAGCGCGTGAGCTGCACACCCGCTGCCCAAACGCAGAGCTCGGCCCGACGCCCCAGCAGCGCCTCCACGTAACATGGGCAGGACGGGGACGTGGGGGTCGCGTCCCCGGGTCCCCGCGCGGAGGAGGCTGGGCGGGGGGCTGGGCGGGGGAGCCGGCCCGCTGCTCGAAATTACAGTAGCAGGGCCCAGCCCGGCAGTCGGGCGCGGGAACGTGATGGAGATTGCCGGGGAGCAGAGATTATCGGCCGGTATCTATATTCACATCCGGTGTGGTCCATCTATCTTCGTCGCGCGAGCAGCAGGGCGCTAGCGCGCTCCAATCCGTGATATCCGCCTGCCTGCTACTCCCTCGCGGCTGCCAAAGCCCCGCTCCCATTCCACCTCCCCACCCC